AAAAAAAACCAAACCAAAAAATAGCTCTTCAGCTTCAAATATTTTTTAGAACTTCAGCCAAAGACAGCAAAGAATTGTGTTTACGGAGCAGCCATGCAGGAGGAGCTCGTAGTTGAAATGCTCTTTAGATTGTACCATTTTTGCCAAAGCTTTTTACATAGGACAGGGAGAAGCGCAGCCACCCCCACCGGAGCTGCGTGCCACAGGGACTGCTGTCCTGTCTCAAGTGGAGCACAGTGCCTTTACAATCCTTTTTCTTCAGATCTGAAGCCAAAATTCCCTTTTTTTTTTGTTGTTTTCTTTTTCTGAATTGTGATTCCCGGCAGTGCTGGCGCGGGGGCTCCCGGCAGCTCGCGGGCGATGCCCATGTCTCTCCGTGGCCATTGCCCCCTCCCCAGCCCCCTGCCCACCTGCACTCCCGGCGCTCCATGTACTGTATTCCCCATATTCCCCATCCCAGGCACCTCTGGGTTCCYTTTTTTTTCTTAACCAGCCAAGTTGTGCCTTAGCTGAGGTGGGGGCCGGGCTGGGAACCCCTTTGGACCCCACATGGCATCGATGGAGATGGAGTAGGGGAGGTGAAAATGAAAACGCACCGGGACCAGATGGATCTGACAGCTGGGGTGATGGACCTCAGTCCCACAGGCTCAGTTCTTTTTGGGGAGCCAGTGCAACCAGCAGGGCTCACCCCAGCTTTTCTCAGCTGCGGTTATTCGGGCTCATCTCTGCAGCTCAGGAGCCGTTTCAGGGATAACGCGAAGGATGCTCAGTCCAGGTCGGAGCWGGTTTGCCAGGAAAGCATCTAGGAAGGCTTTTTGTTCCAGTGAGGGGGATTTTAGGATCTGGCAGGGGCAGCTTCCCCCATGGCAAGAATTCATCCAGCCATTGACAGATATCTTGGCTTTTTGCCTCGATTGGGGAACACCCACAGCCCTCCCGACCTCGAGTGCAGTAGGGGGGGTTGGTGCAGGTACCAGGACAAGCCCCCCACTCCAGTGGGATTTGGGGAGGTCGTTATGTATCCATGCTTGCAAAGCTTCTGTATTACTGCCTGTATCTCCTTCCAAAATACAGCTGAACCCTTCCCACGCCGTGTGCTGTCGTCATTGCTGTCCGGGGGGATTTGGGGTGCAAACCCCAGCAGCAAAGGGAGCCCCACAGCAGGGCTGGGGCTCAGCACCCACCRTGGATGGGGGGGAAAAAGGGTGGATTGCTAAGAACTGGACAGGAATTTGGGGTAAGGACTCAGAGATTCCCTCCCTTGGGGTTTKGGGGGCCAAACATTCCCCAGGATGGGCTGGACCGGGGAGTGCAGAACCTGAGTGAGCCCCTGAGTGAAGGTTTGCTCCTACCACAGGCACCCCCACCCTGTGCCAAGGGGACCCCTCTGCCCCCCGGGCCGTGCCAGGCACCACAGCAAGGCAGGAGGGGATGCTGGGGAGAAGGAGAGCTGTAAAGCCGGCGCATAATCGGCTTTAGCAGGCACAGCGCTGGGGAGCCGCGATGTGAGGGACGCAGGAGGGTGGCCGGGGCACAGGCACAGCCAGGTAGGTGCCCGGGGTGCCCTSTCTGGGGGTGCCCCCTGCCCCAGGGTCCCCCATCTGTCCGGTTTGGGTGCTCAAGAGGGCAGGGGGTGCCAGGGGGTCTGGGGCATCGCTGTCACCCCCTAAGAAGGGTGTCCCCTGCCAGGAGAGGGGCACAGGGAGGTGCTGGAGGCAGGAGCTCACAGGGAGGGGACACCCTGGCCCCCTCTCTGTGCCCTGTTTCCCTCCTGTCACTGCCAGCTCAGGGACATTTGTGCCACAAGGTTGGGGCAGTTCATCCCTGTCCCCTTCGTAGGGATCCAACCCCACTCTAGTCCCGAAAATCATGAGCTTGTGCCCAAAATAGCGGGTTCTGGAATGATGTGGGGAAGCCAACCATGCTGCTGGGGTCCTGTGCTGCTGCTTGGATGTTTTCTTGGGAGCAGACAGGTCAGGAGACACAGGAACTGCCACGGGGAACTGCCATGGGGAAATGCAACAGGGAAGTTGCAACGCCCTGGATTCCCCCCCASCACCCCCACAAGACCCCAGTGCCTTGTGCCAGGCTGAGCTGGCACCTGTGGSGTCCCTGCACAGCCCCAGGGACACTGCAGAGCTCTGTGGGGACAATACAGACATGGTGGGTTCCTTTCAGAGCCACATGGGACCCACACTCCCCACAGGGACCCTGCACACCCCTGTGTGCACCTTGCACAGCCCCTGGGGACCTTTCACACCCCCTTGGGACCATGTGCAGCCCATGGGGACATTTCACACCCCCTTGGGACCATGTGCAGCCCACAAGGACCTTTCACACCCCTTTGGAGCCATGTGCAGCCCATGGGGACCTTGCACACCCCTTAGGAGCCATGTGCAGCCCATGGGGACCTTGCACACCCCTTTGGGACCATGTGCAGCCCATGGAGACCCTTCACACCCCTTTGGGACCATGTGCAGCCCATGGGGACCCTTCACACCCCTTTGGGACCATGTGCAGCCCATGGGGACCTTGCACACCCCTTTGGGACCATGTGCAGCCCATGGGGACCCTTCACACCCCTTAGGAGCCATGTGCAGCCCATGGGGACCTTTCCCACCCCTTTGGGACCATGTGCAGCCCATGGGGGCCTTTCCCACCCCTTTGGGACCATGTGCAGCCCATAGGGACCTTGCACAACCCCACAGGGAGCTTGTTTGACCTCACACCCCTATGGGAACTTTACAGAAAATCCTGTGAAAGAACTCCAGCCCCGCTCCAGCCAAAGCACCGACTCACAGTCAGATTTCTCCYGCTCCTCCTGTTGTCCAGCAGAGCTGAGCCCTGCTCCAGATTCCCCCAGAGTCTGTCAGGGGCAATAGGGATCCCAGAGCTGGGGCCATGGCCTGGCCGTGCTCCTTTATGCCCTGAATGCTGGGGTCTCTGCAGGGTGGGCAGGAGCACCCCCCAGTTTTTTTTGGGGGGAAGTCCAGCACAGGGAGGCTCAGAGCAATCCCTGGGATGGGGTAGAGCTGGGACTGACTGGCAGCCAGCAGGGTTTTCCAGCCAGGGCACAGCCAAGTGGGCACAGGGGCCCTGCCAGCCCCACACTGGCCCCTCCAGCCCCTGCGTGCCCGGGGGGATTAAGGTCAGGCCACCCTGCTAATCCCAAAGAGGGGTTGAGATGTGAGCCTGTGGCTGCTGTAACCCCCCAAAATCTGCACCCCAAGGTGCCACAGGTCGTGGGAGCCCCTCAGGGGGGTGAAGGCAGGGTTGGGGGGTGCAGCTAAGCCTGGGGGTGACAAGTCCCAGATAAGGCTCCAGATAAGCTCCAGTGCTGGTGGCCACTGGGTACAAGCTCCTTACAGCTCCCTTTGCAGGGCTTTGACCTCCTGAGCCCTGTGGGAACTGCAGGGACGCTTGGTTCTGCTCCCCAGCCCTGGCACAGGGCCTGCTGCAGCTTTTGGGGTGCTGATTTGGCCCCGCTTTGCAGGCACTGGGGACAAARTCACTTGCCTGAGGTCATGCAGGGAAAGTGGCTGCAGAGGGGGAGGAAGTGGAGGGTGGGGATCCTGTTTTAGGGTACCCTAGTGTCACGCAGCTGGGAAGGGGAAGGGGACAGGCTCCAAAGGAGAAGTGGGGTCTGCAAGCGCCAGCTAGACCAGGCTCTCTGGCAAGGAAAATCCCGAGGGGGGAAGTGCCATAAACCCAAATCTGTGGATGCTGGGTGGGAGGGCACACATGCAGCCTGGGGCTATGGCTGCAGCACGAGCCCCTCCTGGGACCCCCCAAACCCTGATTGTATGGGAAGACAGAGTCAGCAGCACTCATCTGGGATGGGTGAAGTGGGAGGGCTGAGACAGGGATGGGGTGCAGGGATGGGGTGTGGATATGGGGGTGAAGGGATGGGGTGCAGAGATGGGGTGTGGATATGGGGGTGAAGGGATGGGGTGTGGATATGGGGTGCAGGGATGGAATGTGGATATGGGGGTGAAGGGATGGAGTGCAGGAATGGGGTATGGGTATGGGGGTGCAGGGATGGGGTGTAGGGAAGGTTTGTGAATATGGGGGTGCAGGGATGGGGTGTGGATATGGGGGTGAAGGGATGGTCTGTGCAGGTATGGGATGCAGGGATGGTTTGTGGATATGGGGTTGCAGGGATGGGGTGCAGGGATGATCTGTGGGTATGGGGGTGCAGGGATGGGGTGCAGGGTTGGGGTGTGGATATGAGGTTGCAGGGATGGTCTGTGCAGGGATGGGGGTGCAGGGATGAGATGCAGGGTTGGTCTGTAGATATGGGGGTGCAGGTATGGAGTGCAGGAATGGTTTGTTGATAAGAGGGTGCAGGGATGGTCTGTGCAGCTATGAGATGCAGGGATGGTCTGTGGATAAGGGGGTGCAGGGATGGGGTGTGGATATGGGGCTGCTGGGTTGGGGTGCAGGGATGGTCTGTGCAGGGATGGGGTGCAGGGATAGGGTACAGGGATGGTTTGTGGATATGGAGGTGCAGGGATGGTCTATGCAGGGATGGTCTGTGGATATGGGGGTGGAGGCACGGGGTGCAGGGATGGGTTGCAGGGATGGTCTGTGGATATGGGGTTGCAGGGATGAGTTGCAGGGATGGTCTGTGAAGGGATGGGGTGCACGGATGAGATGCAGGGATGGTCTGTGGATATGGGGGTGGAGGCACTGGGTGCAGGGATGGGTTGCAGGGATGGGGTGCAGAGATGGGGGGGTGGATATGGGGTTGCAGGGATGGTCTGTGCAGGGATGGTCTGTGGATATGGGGGTGGAGACGCGGGGTGCAGGGATGGGGTCTGGATATGGGGTTGCAGGGATGGTCTGTGCAGGTATGAGATGCAGGGATGGTCTGTGGATATGGGGGTGGAGACACGGGGTGCAGGGATGGGTTGCAGGGATGGTTTCTGGATCTGAAGGCGTTGAGATGGGGGCACAAGCACTTGTTGCCAAAAGCTGAGAGCCAGACCGGGGCGAAGGGCCCCAGCGCAGTTCTGCGGGCACAGGAACGTGTCAGGAGAGGGGCTGTATGGCACAAACGCGGCGGCCGAGGGGTGACGCTGCAAACGGTGGGGTGTGCGTGGGGCGAGGGGAGGTGGTGCCCACGCGTGTGCCCACCCTCCATATACGGGGGACCATGTGCGGGGGCGGGGGGTGTCCCGGGTTCCGTGTCCGTCCGTCAGCGTGTCCGTCGCTCTGTCGGCGCGGGGATGGCCGAGGTACAGCCGTAGCCATGGCGACGTGAGCCGGATGCGGGGCCGGGGGATGCTGCTCCCGCCCGCCCGCCGCAGGTCGGTACCGCCGCACCGCCACCGGGGCCGGGGGCGTTCAGGGGGCGCGGGGGGACCGGGGGGATGCTCGGCGGGGGCGGGAGGGCGAGCGGGACCGGGGCAGTCGCCGTGGTGGGGCTGGGGGTGGGGGAACCCCAGCGCTGATGCTGCCAGACAGCAACAAAGGGGCTGAGGTCCCGGCCCTGGGGACACCCCCGGCACCCCCCCGGCAGCTCCTCGGGCTGTCTGCTCCCACATTCCCCCAAGCCCTCCTTTTCCCCATATCCTAAGCACCCCTCCCTCCCTCCTCCACCCTTCACTCCCCCCTGCGCATCCTCCTCTCTCTTACCTGTGCCCCCCCAGCTCTCCCCACCCTTTATATCCAACACCCCCGTGAATCATCTCCCATTTTCTCTTGCACAAACCCCCCCCAAATTCCTCCCCTTCATCCTCCTATGTCCTTAGCCCACCCCCTCTCCTCCCTTGCTTTCCATCTCCCCCCACACCCACCCTGCTCTGGATTTGGGGGGATCGAAGCAGTTTGCCCCAGGCTGAGCTGCCCCAGCCTCTTTTGGGGTTTGGGAGCATCCCTGCACCCCCCACACCACAGGAGGTGACACGGGCAGGGGATCGCAGTCCAGCAGCAGGGAAGGACCAAACTCTCCTGTGCTGTGGGAAATGGAGGCACAGGGAAGGTCTGAGCAGGAGGGAGATGGTGCTACCACTTCACACCTGCCTGAGCCCATCACAGCTCACCCTGGGGATGGGCCTGGCTCTATCCTGTGGCCCATGACATGCTCTTTGCAGGGGCTGTGGGTGTTTACCGACAGCACAATATCCCCTGGATTACAGGGAATCCTCCAAGAGGAGCTCCAAGCAGGAACAAGATCCATGGAGCCACAGCTGTGGTCAACCCAAAAGCRCCAGGGGACACTAAACGATCCTGGTGTTGAGAGACCCTTGGTGGCACTTGCTTTGTCAAATCCCATGCAGGAAGGCTGTAATCCCACCCCTCAGCACGTCCCCAGACCACTGTGACCAGGGGACCCAAAAACGAGGAGAGGGAGGGCTGAGAAGGGATCCCGGCTTCCCGTGAGGCTGCTGTCGCCTCACATCCATCCTTGTGTCAGCCCTGGGGAACACTCTGGAGGTTTTCCTCAGCCCCACCACAGCCCCCACCGAGCCTTCAGCCTGGCCAAAGAGCCTCTGCTCCCTTTCCCATCCCTCCTCCCCCTCGGCAGCCTCGGTGGCTCTGGCCCAGGGCAGAACAATGCGGCCGGTCCAAGGCTCCGTGCGGCCCCGTCCCTCAGCCAGCCCTTCGCCAAGTGGGAAATCCGGGGCAGAGTAACCTACTTTCTGTGCTCACAAGGAGCTTCTGTCCCAGCCAAGCAAGGTGGCACTGCCCTCCCGGGGCTCCGTGTCCCGCAGGGCTGCTGTGGGGACAGGGGAGGCAGGTAAGGAGGCCCCAGCAGGGAGGGATGCTCCTCAGCCTTGTCCACAGAGGGATATTGGGGTACCTCAGCTATGTCTGTGATGTTGGGGAAATCCAGGGCTTTGGTTTTGGGGGGTTTCTTGCCTACAGCCATCCCGGAGCAGCCTGGGGTGAAGGATGGACTCTTCTCGGAGGAGGGAGAGTTGCAGGAGCTTTGTGGGGGCAATGCCTGGTTTGGGGGGTTGTTTATGGGGGCAAAGCTCAGCCCTGGGGGGCTGTTTGTGGGGACGATAGCCAGCCCCATGGGACTGTTTGCAGGAAGCAATGCTCAGCCCTGGGGCCTGTTTTTTTGGATGATGCTTGTCCCAATGGGGCTGATTTTGGGGATGATGCTGTTGGTTCGCATAATCCACAGGGGAAACGCCATTGTTTTCCTCACCCCAAAAATTTCCCCAGCGAGCAAATTCAGGCATCTGAGCTCACCTTTCTCCCCCCCATCACCCCGTTGGGCACCCATCTGGAGGAGCAGAGCTCCCTGGTTCCCATCCCAGCTGCCTCCACCAGGCTTCGCTGCCGAACCCGCGGGGKTGCGAGGCAGGGGAGGCGGGCGCAGGCACCCACTGCCCCAACCTGCCGAGGCTCGTCCTCTTCCAGCAGGACTTTCAGGTTCCCGCAGTGGCGGCGGAGCCACGCAGGGCAGGGCTGGGCCGGGCCGGGCTGCAGCGAGCCCAGCACGGGCAGGGAGCTCGGGCCGGGTGCGGGGCATGGGCCCACGGGGGGCTCGTAGCCGCAGCCCCCGCGGCTCAAAAGCCCGCCGGCTGCCCGTGCTCCGGGGCTGGAGGTGAGCAGCTCCGTCCTCGCCCGCCGGAGAGGTAATGCCGCTCGTTTGGGGACACGGTGACMGTCAGCAAAGGGGTCCTGGGGACCGTGAGGATCTTGAGATGCGGCTCTTTCCCCATTGCTTCTGGCATGAGCTGCAGAAATAACTACAAGAAGGGGGTTCCCGTTTGTGTGCCCTTCTCCTCTCCCCCTTTTTGTGGACCCCCTGGCAAATGATGGAGCCAGGCAAAGGAACCCCTGACGGGAATGGGCCCCGGGGCTCTGGGGGCAAAGGTTAGAACATCTGGACAGCTCTGTGCCGGCATCCCTGGTGCAGGAGCCCCAGAAGGSGAGGGGATGTTTCTGACTTCCAGAGAGTTCAGTGCAGGGGCGAGGGGACAGGTCTGGCTGTGCTGCTGCAGCAATGGGAAGTTCATGCCCATTTTGGGGGGTGCCACGTGTGTCTCGGGGCTCTGTGTCCCCCCCCCACCATCCCCCACGCCTGTGCTGGGTGCTGCTTCCCCGTCTTGTTTCCGCCGGCTGAGGTGACACGCAGCCCGGCGCCGTGTGTGTGTGCCCTCAGCCTCGCCTTTCCTCCCCGCAGGGATGGTGCTGGGAGCCTCGTGGGGCGCACCCCTGCCGCCCCCCGCCATGCCCGCCGCCCTCCGCCTGCTCTGTGGGGTGGTGGTCCCGGCTGCCATGCTCTGCGCCGAGCCCCTGCCCCGCGTCACCTTCCCTAGCGGTGAGTATGGCATGGGAGCGGGGCTGGGACAGCTGGGGAGGGGACACACAGCATCTGCATGGGACAGGGGACACCCCCAGGACTGAGCAGCAGCAGCAGGAATGGTGGGCTGCACCCCAACACAGCCCCCCGCCCCATCGCTGAGCATCGTGTGGGGCTGTGGACAGTGGAGGGTGGGAGTRGATGGGGCTGCTTGGCACCCCAACACCCAACGGCCATTTTGTCACCCCCTTGTCACCCCGAGTTTGCTCGGGGTGACAAAATTTGCCTCTGGAAAATGGCATGTCCAGCCAAAAGGCAGGTGGCAAAGCAGGAGCTTTGGGGGACTGTGACATTTCAGSAGGGTCTGTGCCCCATGGCAGGATCATGCCATTCCTGCCCTGAGTGCATTGTCACTTCCCCTTCCCCGTGCAACCATGCCCAGAATTGCAAAAATCCCCTCGTTTCGGTGCCTGGTGGGGATGAAASAGAAACTGCGGTCCCTGGCTGTGCCCCAGGGTGCCCTGGGGGCTGGTGAGTCCCCCAGTTTGGCACCTCAGGGGCTTGTAATCCCTCCAGGGTGGCACCCTGGGGCAGTGCATTCCCCAAATGGAACACAGCCCTTGGCATGGCCCCAAAGCATCACAGGCAGAGCTTGGGGGAAAATGCACCCCAGAGCTTAGGGATGCCCACCAGCTCTTGCAGCAGAACCTGGAGTTGGGCAGGGGGAGGCTGCAGGGGGAAGGGGTGACGGCGATGTGGGAGCTGCAGGGGAAGAACTGAACCCCATTTCCTGTGTGAGACGTAACACRAGCTGCACTGGCAGCTGCTGCCACATCCACCCACGGACCATGGTGGCGGGGTGCATGTGGCCCCTGTCACCCCCTTTGCTCCTGCCAGGGGACCCCCGGCGGACCCTCACCCACTTCAGCCAGGACAAYGTCTCCCACTACGACATCTTCCTCCTGGATGAGAGCGAGGAGGAGCTCTACGTGGGRGCACGCGACCGGGTGCTGGCCCTCGCTGTCGGCAGCCCCGGCAGCATCCGTGCCAAAGCCTCGGTGAGCAGCCACTGCTTTTGGGAAGGTGGGAGGGGAGAGCCTCAGCTGTGCCTCAGTTTCCCCTCTGGGGCTGGGCCCAACACCGGGAACACCTCCATTCCCTTCGCAGATAATGTGGGGACCCACAGCCGAGAAAACCTCCGAATGTGCATTTAAGAAGAAGAGCCAAGAGGTGAGATGGCCCTATGGGGGCTCAGGGGTCCCACAAAGTTACTGGGGTGCTCAGCATCCAACTCTGCTCTTTTCCCCTCAGACTGAGTGCTTCAACTTCATCCGAGTGCTGGTGGCCCTGAACAAAACCCACCTCTACGTCTGTGGGACTTATGCCTTCAGCCCCGCRTGCACCTACATCGTGAGTGTCCTGACCAGGACAGGGTGTAGGGGATCTCAGGGCAGCTCGTGGTGTTGCTGTGAGGAGCCATAAAATACTGTCCCAGAAGTGAATTGCGTCGTGGGGTGTTCCAAGGATGGGGGGATACAAGGATGGGGTGTCCTCCCCTAGGGATGTCTAAAGGAGCGCTCAGTGATTCTCACTCAGCTGTCAGCAACTCTTCTTCTGGCAGGGAAACCCCAATTTTGGGTCCCCTCRGGTGACTCCAYGCTCTCTGTCCCTGCCTCARTKYCCCCCTCACTGAGCACRTGGTGGGGACTGCCACTCCCCAACAGGAAAATGAGGGAAGGTGACAGGAGCCAGGTACCCCYGGCATCCTCTGTCATCACCCCCTGCCATCATCCCTGCACCCACCTTGAAGACACCCCATGTCTGCAAGGTATTCCCCAGTCACTCCCTACAGATWTGGGGAATGTTTTCACTCCTTTGGCTGATTTTTCTCCCCTTTCCCACAGCACCTGGAAAACTTTACACTGATGTCCAGTGGCAGAGGACAACCCTTCCTGGACGGGAAGGGCCAGTGTCCCTTTGATCCCCAGCACACCTACACGGCCCTGCTGGTGGGTGAGTATGGGGCCAGTGGCCCTGGGATGGAGTGCAGGGTGAGGATGGGGGTCCCCACAGTGCCTCACCCCACAATGTGTCACYGAGCAGACGGTGAGCTCTACGCTGGCACCATGAACAATTTCCAGGGCAACGAGCCCATCATCTCCCGCTCGCTGGGCAGCCGCACCCTGCTCAAAACTGAYGCCTTCCTCCGCTGGCTCTCGGGTGAGCAGAGGGAAGGTGCTGGGGAGGATTCCCCGGTGTTGGGGGTGATGCAGCTCCCCAAGCTTCATCTCCTCACTCGTCTGTGCCCATAGCCGACGCTGCCTTCGTGGCCTCCTTCAGCATCCCCGGGGATGACAAGGTCTACTTCTTCTTCGAGGAGACAGCTGATGAGTTTGACTTCTTCGAGAGGCTCCTGGTGCCACGGGTGGCTCGTGTKTGCAAGGTGGGTGCAGGGGTGGCAGCAGGGAATGATGGTGGGGGCACAGTGATGAGGAATGATGATGATATGGGACAATGACAGGAGACGATAATGGGGACAATAGTTGTGCTRTGATTGATGCCTTATCAGGACTCACCTAAAACAGAGGCCAGACAAAGTTAAGAGAATAAAAGCAGACAAATTTAGTCCAGGCCTGCTGGTACATTAGGGGCATACAAAGCCTCCTCTTGAGGCTACACCCAAAAATGGACACCGAGTCACGAGATCATCCCCTTTTATAAATTCTATCTTATTAACATATTGGGCCACAATTCTCCAATGACACCTTCAGGTGACAATGTCACCCATCCCAATCTTGCTCCCCCCAATTCTCTGTTGTTTTCATATTTTGAGGCTCTGAGGCAGCGAAGTGTCCTTGGATTTCAGACTCACAGAAGAGTTCTGTCTGAAGATGGGAAAACAGCAGCTTTAGCGCTGTACACTAGAGAAGTACAAGAATTCAGATACATGAAAATATAGAAACTAAAAGGTTATAGATACTAAGGTATCGTGATCAGCAGTGACGACAGGGGACAATGACAGGGGACGATGTCACCATAATGGGGGACAATGACAGGAGACAAAGGGAGCAACCAGAACCTGTCACCTTGATCATGAACACCCTCCCGCTCCTGCAGAGCGACGTAGGGGGTGACAAGGTGCTGCAGAAGAAGTGGACCACCTTCCTGAAGGCTCAGCTGGTGTGCTCCCAGCCTGGCCGCTTTCCCTTCAACGTCATCCACCACGCCTTCGCCCTGCCCCGCCACGACGGCCGCGCCGACTTCTACGCCGTGTTCACCTCGCAGTGGTGAGTGCCCGKGGCTTGGAGGGGTCTGGGGTCTGTGCCCTGGTGCTGCCCACCTGGTTGTCCCTCCCCACAGGCAGGCGGGCAGGGCAGGCAGTGCTGCTGTCTGTGCCTACACACAGGAGGATCTGGAGAAGGTCTTCGAGGGCAAGTACAAGGAGTTGAACAAGGAGAGCTCTCGCTGGACTGTCTACAGTGGCCCCGACATGAGTCCCCGGCCTGGCAGCGTGAGTGCTGTCCACTCAGGGGGATTGGATGCTCCTGGGGGACAGTGGTGGTCCCCAAGAGAAGGGGTCTGTCTATCCCAGTTTGCCCATTGTGCTCGCACTGCAAGCAGGATGGGAAAGGGGGAGAATCCCTCTGCACCCCACTGGTGCTCTGGTGATGCAGCACATYGTCCCCTCCCCCGTGCCTCAGTTTCCCCACATCAGCACAGACCCCTCTGTCCCCCCACAGTGCTCCATGGGTCCCTCCTCAGACAAAGCCCTCACCTTCATGAAGGACCATTTCCTGATGGATGGCAAGGTGTCCCCCATCCAGGGACAGCCTCTCCTGGTCAAGTCCGATGTCACCTACACACGCATCACCGTGGGCGAGACTCGCAGCATCTCAGGCACCACCTATCGTGTCATGTTCCTGGCCACAGGTGGGTTCATATCGGGGTGCACACAGAGCCACCCCTCCAAGCCTTCCCTTGGCTCCAAAGCCCCAGGGATGTCCCCTGTGCCCCACAGCGGAGGGTTTCCTGCACAAGGCTGTGGAGCTGCCTGAGGGTCCCCACATCGTGGAGAGCATCCAGCTCTTCGCAGTGCCGGAGCCGGTGAAAAACCTACTGCTGGCCCCAGGGAAGGTAGGGCAGGTGTGACCACCCGGGTGACCCAACAGCCACCCAACGCCGGCACCGGACACTGGGCAGAGGCTCAGCCCTGCGCCTGTCCCTCCCCAGGGCATCCTCTATGTGGGCTACTCCAGGGGCATCCTGCAGATCCCGCTGGCCAACTGCAGCCTGCACCGGAGCTGCGCCGAGTGCGTGCTGGCACGGGACCCCTACTGCGCCTGGCACAGCCCCGAGGGATCCTGYCAGCCCGCCCGCTTCGCTGAGGACACGTGAGCAGTGGGACAAGGGTGGGGAGGGGCTGCGCAGGACACCGGGATGCTGACCCCACTGTCCTGCCCTCAGGAGCGCGTGGCTGCAGGATATTGAGACAGGGAACCCGGCCTCGTGCCCGCGAGGGAGGAGTGCAGCCATGCCCCGAGCCTGGGGGCTGCCGGAGGATCCCACTGTGCAGAGTTGAGTATGGGAGCACAGCGGGATGGGGAATGTGGGGATGGATGGGGCACGTGGGGCTGGGCAGGGAACACAGACCTGGACTGGGCACACAGGGCTGGACAGGGAACACAGGGATGGACAGGGAACACAGGGATGGACTGGGCACGTGGGGCTGGATGGGGCACACGGGGATAGACAGGGAACACAGGGATGGACTGGGCACGTGGGGCTGGATGGGGCACAGGGTGCTGTATGGGGCACACAGGGCTGGAGAGGGCACATGGGGCTGGACAGGGAACACCGACCTGGACGGGGCACATGGGCTGGACTGAGCACACGGGGCTGGATGGAGCACATGGGGCTGGAGAGGGCACATGGGGCTGGACGGGGCATATGGGGCTGGGGGGCTGGGCAAGGAACACGCACCTGGACTGGGCACATGGGGCTGGAGTGGACACATGGAGCTGGACAGGGAACATGGGGCTGGATGGGGCACATGGTGCTGTATGGGGCACACAGGACTGGACGGGGCACACAGGACTGGATAGGGCACACAGGGCTGGACTGGGCACATGTGGCTGGAGAGGACACGCAGGGCTGGACTGGGCACACGGGGCTGGACAGGGAGCACAGACCTGGACTGGGCACATGGGCTGGACTGGGCACATGGTGTGGGATGGGGCACTTGGGACTGGAGTGGGCACATGGGGCTGGACGGGGCATATGGGGCTGGACTGGGCACATGATGCTGGGGGGCTGGGCAGGGAACACAGACCTGGATGGGGCACACAGAGCTGGACAGGGCACACGGAGCTGTATGGGGAACACAGGGCTGGAGAGGCACGTGGAGCTGGACAGGGCACGTGGGGCTGGATGGGGCACATGGGCTGGACTGAGCACACGGGTCTGGATGGAGCACACGGGGCTGGAGAGGGCACACAGACCTAGACTGGGCACATAGGGCTGGATGGGGCACACAGGGCTGGAATGGGAACATGGGACTGGACAGGGCATGTGGGGTTGGATAGGGAACACAGGGCTGGACGCGGCACATGGGGCTGGACTGGCCACACAAGGCTGGACTGGGCACATGGGGTTGGACGGGGCTCATGGGGCTGGACTGAGCACATGAGGCTGCACAGGGAACACACACCTGGAGTGGGAACACAGACCTGGACTGGGCACATGGGGCTGGATGGGATACATGGGACTGGATGGAGCACATGGAGGTGACTGGGCACATGGGGCTGGAGAGGACACACAGGGCTGGACTGGGCACACAAGGCTGGACTGGGCACACAGGGCTGGACTGGCAACACAGGGCTGGACTGGGCACACAAGGCTGGACTGGGCACATGGGGCTGGACCGATCACACAGACCTGGACTGGGCACACTGGGCTGGACTGGGCACACGGGCTGCACCACCTCACCCCACTCTCCACCCCCGCAGGACTCAACCCCCAGCCCAACACCGTGGTCCAGCTGCCGTGCCCTCGCCACTCCGCCCTGGCCACCTACAGCTGGCAGCAGCCTGGCAGTAGCCGCGGGCACACAGCRCTGCTGCCTGACCACACGCTGGTGGTCATCATGCAGCAGGGCATGGCCGGCTCCTACAAATGTGTGGCCACAGAGAACGGCTTCACCTGGACCGTGGCTCACTACCAGCTCGGGAACTCTGGGGCAGCACTGGGGGAAGGGCTGGCTGAGGAGGAGCTGGCTTGGGGCTCCTCAGACCCTGGCACCGTGCGGCCATACTGGTCCCAGTTTGTCACGGTGACAGTGCTGCTGGCGCTGACGCTGACCGTGGCCGCCTGCCTGGCTCTCCTGGCCTGCCGTGACCAGCTCAAAGCCCGCAGCAAGGTGCGGGGGTGCAGCACACCCCACAGCCCCCCATCCCGCCACCGGGAGAAGGTGCCTCTCAACGGGGCCACCGGAGAGGTCCCCGCACCCGGAGCTGCCACCGAGGAGGAGGAGGAGGATGAAAGTTCCCGTGCTTGCTGCCTCCAGCTTGATGGAGACATCGATGTGGATAACAACAGGCTGCATGTGCCAGCGGGGAACACGGCATGACGCTGCCAGAGGGTCGGGGAGAACTTGGGGAGGGGGGTATGGGGAGGGGTGTGAATGTGAAAGGGGTTTGGGGTTTGGTTTTGTTTTGTTTTTTTTTTTATTTAATACACCTGTTTTAACATAAGGTTCACGTTCTGGGGCAGGGGGTGGAATGGGCCCTGGGAGCAGCAGGGGTGGGATGGTGCAAAGGAGTGGGATGGAGGACAAAAGRAGGTCACAGGGACAGGGGAACGATGTGGCACAGAGGAGAAACATGACCATGGGGCAAGGACGTGGGGTGGGGATGGATGGAAATGGTGGATGCTGACACTGGTATTACCCCACGAAAAAAAACCCAGGTTCCATAAAAACCACAGCATGAGGGAAACTGTGCCCAATGGGCTTCACAGGCCAACCCCATGGGAACCCAGGAAAAAAACCCAGGTTCCATAAAAACCACAGCATGAGGGAAACTGTGCCCAATGGGCTCCACAGGCCAACCCCATGGGAACCCACACTCCACTGCCCCCTGTTCCTCAACACGGCATGATCCCGACCCTTGGRGCTCTGGAGTGGCAGAGCCCTCACTTCTCCTCAGCTGCCCCCCCACATTTCCAGTGTCTTTGATCCGCCTTTTTTAAGTCAAACCAGCTGCAAATTTTCCTGCTCCTTGCTTTTTTATTAAAAAAGGAAAACTCAATGCCTCTCACTGCTGGGTCCATGGAGCAGCCCCGGGGGGTTCTTGGGCCTTKTTGGTGGGTGTGTAGAAGCCTTTGCCATGTGCAAGGCCTACATGCCAGGGCAACACACATGTGCGCGTAGGGACACATGTCTGCCAGGCGTAGACATGCAATGACAGGCAAGCAGCCAACTGTCTCACACTTGCCCATCATTCCCTTTCTTTGGGAGCATCCGTGCTGTTTTCTCCTCCTCTCCGTGCCCCCCTCCAGCCCGTGAAGCGCAGGATCCTCACTCAGCCCTGACTGCCGCTGTCCCTTTAAGAGCCGCAATTCGGCGCGGTCCCTTTAAGGCCGCCGCCCTCTTTACTGCGGGCCGGAAGCGCGGGCGGCACTTCCGGCGCGGCCTCTGCCCGTCCCCAAGATGGCGGCGGTGCCCGGGCGCTGACGCCGCCGGTCACTTCCGGCCGGGGGACGGCCATGGGCCGGGGGGGCCGAGCCGGGTCTGACCGGCGGTCAGCGGGAGTCCGTCCCGCCGGGGTGAGGTGAGCTGAGGGGGCAGCGGGATTGGGCGCTGCGGCGGGGCTGGGAGAGGCGCTGCTTGGGCCAGCGGGGCCTAACGGCGGCGCGGCGCGGGGCCGGTGCGGGCGGCGGCGGCGATTGAGCGGGGGCCATTGAGCGAAACCGGGGCGGGTGTGGAGATTGCGCGGGCGGATGAGGAGGGAGAAGGGTGGGGAAGGCGAGGTGGATGGTGAGGGGTGCGGGTAAAGCGGGCTGGGGGAGGGGGTTGGTGCGAGAGCCGCTTGGCCTTGAGGGACCCCGGGGGAAGGGGACGGAGAGTCCCGGGGCAGGCGGGGAAGGAACCGGAGCTGCCCCTCGGGTGCAGCGGGGGCAGCGCTTGAACGGCCCCCGGGAAGGCGGAGAAGCGGGCTGGAGGGTCCAAGAAGCCTTTTTCAGGGCAATGACCGGTGTCCCCTCAGGGGTGGACAGGGAAGTGGCCGGAGCCCCCCGGAGCTGCGGGGATAAAGCTGCCCGGGTGACAGCGGGGACAGCCCCGCCACACGGAGCCGCGGTGCTGGGGACGCGCCTGGCCCGGCAGTGACCTTGAGCGGGTCCCGGACCGAGCTGTGCCCCCCGTGCACGGCCACAGAGCACGGCCGAGCTTTTGTTGACCAGGAATCAGAGTTGGGGGTTTTGCTCGGCGGGTTGGAGAGTGGAGGGGGTTCTCGGGGGTGCTGGGGAGAAAAGTGCTGGCATCAGAGTGCCTCTGCCACATCGGTGACACAGTGACAGCTGCTGCGAGGAGCTAAGGGTTGTCAGCGGGGTTGCAGTGACAGCCAGGACCCCCTCGAGGGTTTGTATCCTCTCCCACCATGGGGTAGATTGAAGGAGTGAGCCGTGTATTACCTTAGCTCGGTGGGTTGGGTATGGTGCTAACAACGCCAAGGTCGAGGTTTGATTCCCAAATGGGCCTTTCACTCAAGAATTGGACTCGATGGCCCCTCTGGGACCCATCCARCTCAGGCTATTCTGTGATTCTCTGCCCGAGGAGATGCCAGGCAGCCTCTGGATGGTTCCCAGGAGGGTGCTGAGGCATTAGCATGCTGGGCAGGACACATCCCYGGCTGGGGGACACAAAGGCCCTGTCTGTGTTTGCCAGGGCATCATCTTTAGCTCCAGCTGCAGCAAAGACAGTTTGRGGAGCAGATTGACAGGGTGGGATTAAAAGGACACAATTTGGAGGGGTTTGTACTGAATTGAGTTCTGTGTRTAGGAGACTGAGGTTGTGCCCAGCTGAGAGAGAAGGAGTGGGGGCACCTTGCTTGGTACCCCTGCTTGGATTTCTGGGCAGAAGTTCAAGAAATGCTGTTTTGTACATGGTGGGAAGGRACCACTGAGGGATGGTTTTGGCACTGGAAGCTGCTCCAGAATTTAAGGAAGCATGAGCTAAAGGAAAAACTGGTGATCTTGTACCTTGTTTTGGAGGGCAGTTCAAATGAGGAGATGTGTGACTTTTTTATCAGTCTCCCCAAAATTACGGGGAAAGATTACAAAAGAGTTGATGTGACAGGATCCCTGCCCTGAGCAAGGCCTTGGTCTACATTTCTGAAAGAGTAAATGCTCTGAGCAAAACTCTCATGYTGGCAAAGGAAGAATTGTATGATGATGCTTGATCATCCCTGAAGCTGCCAGGATGCCTTCCTTCTTCCACACAGGAGAGACTTCGAGTGCTTCAGAGCCCTGGGCTTAAAGTGACTTTGTCTTTCTAATTCAGATCCCAAATGAGAGGAGTTATTGGTAAGAGTCCAGAGAAAGTGCAGCTATTTCCTCGAGAGGTTGTGGCTGAAATTCTAAACCCAAAGAGCACATAAATAAAGGTCAAGGATATATCATTATTATTATTGTTATKGTTATTATTTCATTTTCCTTATTGCAGTAATGAGGATGTTTTTTTTTTGCAGTCAGCCCATCCCTTTCCTGTGGGGAGYTCAATTCTGTCTCTGGGTGGCAGAGGAATTTGGAGTATGGACTAAACACTCAGGCTTCACCAGGGAATCATATTGGCTAGACTATTTTTTTTTTTAATATAAAACATTAAACTACTGGGACTCCTAACAAGAACCAAATCATGTTTTCATAGGGGTTGTTTGCAGATAATTTCTGTGYGAGGAAGCTTTGTGTGTCAGATGATGCCAGTATTAATGAACACAGTAAAGCTGTAATTGTAATTAAAGCAATCCAGGCTTTGTTTAGCCAGGCTGTGGTGTTTGTTGTGCCTTATCTGGCAAGGCAATTGCCTAGGAGGGTGAAGTGTAGCTCTCCTTGCACTGRTAAAAATGTTGGATCCAGGTGCCCTTGGATGTTTTTAATTCCCCTGTGCATCTGCAGGAGCTGTGGTAGTCTGTAATGCTGTTTGCTGCTSTTCAGTAAATATTTTTTTGGCCAACAGGCAATGAAATGGTCAGTTCATGGAACACCCACCCTGATCWGCCATAATTTCATAACTGTAATTTCTTCTCTGTGCCAGAAGTAAACAGCTCCCAGTTGTTTTGTTACTGTGTTTCTAACAGAATGGCTCTGGTCTGTGTGAACTCTTCATGAATTCCCAAGTGTGGAGACATTTCCCCAAGAATCACAGRCTGGTTTGGGTTGGAAGAACMTTRAAGCCCARSCYATCCCACCCCCCTGCCATGGGCAGGGGMACTTTCCACAAGACAGGAGTGCTCCAAGCCGTGTCCAGCCTGGCCTCAGACACCTCCAGAGCTGGGGCAGCCRCAGCTTCTCTGGCCAACCTGTGCCACTCTCACAKGGAACAATTTRTTCCCAGTATCTCATCTAATCCTGCTCTTGGTCAGTGTCTTGTCCTGTCCTGTTGCTCCAGGCCCTTGTCCCAAATCCCTCYCCYTTGGAGCTCCTTTAGGCAATGAAGTKGTGGTTTGGTGATGTAAAGCACCCCCAAATTGGTGTGTGGTGGTGACTGCCAGTCCCTTTGGGTTCTCCCTTGGGGAATCTGTTTTCAGATCCCCTTGTTCCTGTTCCTGCTTCTTGCTCTCACTCTGCTCTCCAGCTGTTCTACTCGTTCCTGGGCACCTCTTTCAGTACCCATTTGCCAGCCCATGGACTGTAAGTTATGATCCAGCTTCAGTCAAGCCTTTCCCAAAAGTTTATCCACCCAAACACCCCAAGGGTTTGTTTTTTTTTTTTTATTTTGATGAGGAAATAAAGTCCTTGCAGGCAGTGAAATGATCAGTGTTGCATTGGATGACTCTGAGCTGCCCTTCTCTTGTTGCATTGGATGACTCTGAGCTCAGCCCTGCATGGAGGTTCTCTTAGCCCAAGCTTGTTAATCATGCAGGAAGTTAATTTGCTAATTACAGCAGCTAGAGGAACCAGGAGCCTGGCTGTGGAGAAGCAGTTGATGCTTGGTGGGACATGGTGATAAGCTGCAGCAATTGGAGCTGGGGAAGGCTGAAGCAGCACCTCCCTCCTCATCCTCTCCATTCCTGGTGCTCTGAGCMCAGCCAGCAGTGGATGGGGTTATCAGACCAGGAGCAGCGATGGAGTGTTGGCAGCAGGGGTGACCTTTGCTCACTGTAGCTGACAAGCAGCTCAATAGAGAGATCCTGGGCTGTGATTTAACTATTTATTTTCAGGGTTTTGGTGATCAATGTGGAGACTCTACATGGCTGTTTTGTACTGGCCTTGTTCTGCCACTGTTGTCTCTTTTCACCTTCTCATCACCCTCCGGTTTTAGGAAGATCAGAATGCAAATGCCCAAAGAAATGTTTCTAATTCATGCAGGGAATCTAGGAACACAAACAGAGACTTGTCACTTTCTTCTTTGTGCAGATCCTGGAACTGAAAAGTGATACCTGGAAGCATCACAGACCTGGAATGACTGGGGAGAAGCTGCTTTGGTTGGCCATCCCTGATCTGGCGTGTCCATTAAAAGGTGTGTGTGCTGCTGGAGTGGTGCTCATCTGCTGGCTCTCAGCCTATTTCCCAAAGCATGGGAGCTTTGCTTTTCCACAGAGCAGTCTGGGCTGTGGTGAAAGCTGCACATGTGCCAGCTGCTGCTGGAAGTCAGAAAACAGCCACAGTGACACCAGAAGGTGCTACCATCAGCCACATGGTAGGGCATTGTCTCTGGAGGTTACAGTCCCTCTGCTTGGCCAGCACCATGCTGTGCAAGGAATCACTGTGCTTGAGGAGGGTCAGCAAAATTCTGAGGTGATGTGGGTGACCGTAGTGAGTGGGGGCTTTGTCCTCTACCCAAGGGGTCTCTCGTTTCAGGTGCCAGCACTTGCASTCTGCTTGGTCAAGGCTGGAGGGCTGGGCCTGGATCTGCTCTGCACCTTTGAGGGAGATCTGGACCTCTCCTGCCTGAGCCCAAGGAGCCATGGAGGACAAACGCAACATCCCCATCATCGAGTGGGAGCACCTGGACAAAAGGAAATTCTACGTGTTTGGGATTTGCATGACTATGATGATCCGGGTGAGCGTTTACCCCTTCACGCTCATCCGGACGCGGCTGCAGGTTCAGAAAGGCAAGAGCCTGTACAACGGGACTTTCGATGCCTTTGTGAAAATCCTGCGGACAGAAGGGGCAGCTGGGCTCTACCGTGGCTTTTTGGTCAACACCTTCACCCTCATCTCGGGACAGTGCTACGTSACCACATACGAGCTCACTCGGAAGTACGTGTCACGGTACAACAACAACAACGCTGTGAAATCTCTGGTGGCCGGCGGCTCGGCTTCTCTGGTGGCCCAGAGTATCACGGTGCCCATCGATGTCATCTCCCAGCATCTCATGATGCAGAGGAAGGGGGAAAGCATGGGCAGGTTCAAGGTGCAGAGCCAGGACGGCAAGAGGCTGCTGGTCTTTGGCCAAACCAAGGACATCATTGTGCAGATTTTCAAGGCTGACGGTTTTAGAGGCTTCTACAGGGGCTACGTGGCCTCGCTGCTCACCTATATTCCCAACAGTGCAGTCTGGTGGCCCTTCTACCACTTCTATGCTGGTAAGTGAAAGGAGGCTTGAAATGTATCATATCCCAGGAGATGCAGAAGCTGCTCGGATCGACTCTGACATGGTGCATGCAGCATTATTTGCTTTCTGTCTCAGGATGGGAGCAGAACCTCTTGTGAACTAAAGAGCTGTGTTTGGTTGTGTACGAATTCTGCAAATATTGGGTGGAAGTGTAACAGAGCAGCAGKGTTTCAATGATGAGGAGTCCAAGTGCTAGAGGACTTCAAATTGGATGGCTCTAGAGGGGCTTTATGCATCTGCTTTATCTTCCACTAATCCCAAATAATGCCTTGTCCATGGGAGTGAGGAAGGCTCTTCTGTTGAGGCACAGTTTTGGAGTCACCATGTAAATATAGTTCATCTTTCAGTTCATGTGGACTCAGAAGGACTTTGAGCCACAAATCTCATGGCAAAACCAAAAACAGAGACAAGGGCCAAATCTGCCCTGGGTTTCTGTCGGGTTTTGCTTCAGTTTTGGCAGCTTTAGAACTGGCACCAAGTCTTGTGATCAAAAACTACACATAGCAGAATGTTCTTTCTCAGTGGAGAATGTTCTGGCAGCAGAATGTTCTTGCTCAGTTCTGGTACTTCTTAGGGTGTTCCCAAAGACTAAAGGTATTGGTCCAAAGACTAAAGGTATTGGCCAGCTAAGATTTATTTCTACCTCTGATGATCCTTTAGATTTCTGCTTTACACATGGTTTTTTGGTGTTTGGTTACCTAATTCCTGCAAAAAAGTGGTGGTAATGAGCAGTTTGAGTTTCACTATACTGGGCCTAAAGTRTATCATGGAGGTCACCTGTTCTTCAAAATCCAGATGTCTCAAAGRTCCTGTTTGCTTTCCAGAGTTCTGATAACTATGGGGAGCATCAATTCTGCATCTGGTGTGCATTTAAATGGCATTTAAATTAAATGCATTTAAATGTCACCAAGTGACAGCTTGGTCCAGTCTGCACTTTGTGGGAGTGCTCCCATGAGTCTCCATGTCAACAGTTTTTAAGACCAAAACCCACTGTATTAATTATAAGGCTTTAATGTGAAAAGGGCTCAAAGGAGGGCATGTAAGAGCAAGGCAGACYAGAGCTCTCCACTTCCAGGTGTTTGTTCTCTGTGTCTTCTCAGTGGAAATCAAGCTGATGGGAAACATAAGCCCCAGCTGTCAGTGAATYTCTGCTTTGGCTGAATTTCTGAGTCCCCTGTCCCTGGACAGAGCAGCAGCAGGGGTCACTGAACCCTCCTTGGGTTCAAAGGACACTGCTGGCCCTGATTCCAGTTGATGTTCGAGGTCATGAACAGAGCTGCTTCCTTCCCTCCTGCCAGATACGCTTCCTTGTCATCCAAAAAAAAAAAAATGAGGCTTTTGAACAGTCTTCTGTTCAACTTCAATCAATACAAGTGCAGGAGATTCAAATCCTGTTGGCCAGGCAGCAGGAGCAGGGTGAGGAAATCTGGGATGAGCACTACGTGGTGCTTTTCTCCTTAGGGATCCACAGTGGGGTATCAGCAGTGGGACAGTGTGCCCAGTAGTGACAGCTTTCTGTGTAAATCTCTGCAGGCACCTTCCAATAAGGCCTTATCTTAAGGCTTCCCCCACCTTCTGAAGAGGCTGGGCGTTTCTGTGCCCTGTTTTGGGGACATGGAAGCTCMTTCTGTCCAGTTTGCCTCACAGGCCTGGGAGCTGGTGTGGCAGCTGATGGGAGGCTGTGGGATGAAGCACAGGGAGTGTCCTGGAGCCACTGGGATGATGAGTCCTGCTCCCTGTGCCCTGTCAGCTTTCTGGTTGGTGTAGGAAGCATCACTTGGAGATTCTGTGGGAGGAGGTGGCRGGTTGTAAATCAGGGATTCTGCCCAAATCATTTGGATTTAGGGGGTGGAGTTAAGGAACTGATAAGCAGCCACTGAAAGTCTGAAACTTTCCTCTCTCCCAATCCCAGAACAGCTTTCGAGTTTGACTCCTAAAGACTGTCCCCACCTCCTTCTGCAAGCAATATCTGGGCCACTTGCAGCTGCAACAGCTTCCACACTCACCAACCCCATGGATGTGGTGAGGGCTCGGGTCCAGGTAAGAGCTCAGCCTGCTTGGCACAGCATGGGGAGGGGTTCAGCTCTCTGATCTCTGTGGTTTTAGGTGAGCTGCTTCCCTGCTCTCCCTGGGCCTTTCATCCTGGCTATTAACTGCTTAATTAGCCCTCAGCATTAGCTGGAGSAGCCTAGGGAGCAAAGCTGGAGGTGCTGGCTTGGCCTGCTCAGACGGGCTTTCTCTTTGGAAAGGGACAGATGCTTCCTCTTTATGGTTTTTATGGACTTTATGGTTTTTTGCTCCCCTCTTCAGGGAGTTCTGGAGACCAGATCAAGGTTGTTGGGYTGGCTGATCTGTCATCTCCAGTCTTCAGTTGCAGCAGAGCCCCAGAGCTGCTCAGGTTGGAATATGGCAGCTCTGTCAATGTTTGTTCTGTTGTTGCAGGTGGAAGGCAAGAGCTCCATCATCCTCACCTTCAAACAGCTCATTGCAGAGGAAGGTCCATGGGGGCTGACTAAAGGCCTCTCTGCCCGCATCATTTCAGCAACTCCTTCCACCATTGTCATCGTGGTGGGGTACGAAACGCTGAAGAAGCTGAGCCTGCGCCCAGAGCTGGTGGACTCGAGGCACTGGTAGMGGCAGCTGGTGGAAAAAAACCTTCCTGTGAACCCTCTGAATCTGGACTGTTGCCTTGGAGAGCCCAGGAGGTGACACAGCTGCTGTGCCTTTGTCTCTGGCTGGTTTTGCAGCACAAGGCAGATGCAAAAGCAACTGCACTTCACCTCTTTAGATTTGAGTGTCATACAAAGCTCTGCTGCTGGTTTTGCTTCAGTCGTGACCTTCGGCAGTGCTGTTTGTCTGGGACAGTCCATTCCAGGTGTGTGAACGCATCCTGGCAAATTATTAATTCCTTTTTTTTTTTAATTAAAGACTCACTGGCTTAATCAAAAAGCCAGATTATTCTCTTTAAATTATTTTCATCTTTGCCAAACTTCCAAGGAGAGGATTCTCACGGCCTGCAGCAGGACCCTCTGGTGGGATGTCTCTAGTGGCAAGTTGGGCTGTGGGAAGCTGGAAGCAGAAAATAGACAAGTGAATTTCTCCAATGACGTGAATTTATTTCTAGAAGATGTGAGACAAGAGTAACCTGGAACCACTTCAGACCTGATTTCCTGCACTTTGAATAGATCTACATACTTGTTTTGTATGTTCTTGGAAAATGTTCCCTGTCTCTCATCCTTCAAACAGCAGGCTGGCTGACAGCAAGTCAAGAGCTGAGCTGGCTGTTTGGAATTAGCTGATGGCGGTTTTGACACCTAACCTGTGTTTTTAATCTGTTGTAATTTAATTTCTTTTTTATTTTAGGGAAGCTGCTTCTGATTTCTGGGGAACTGAATGGTTGTCCTGTGGCCTTTGTTCAGTGTGTCAATCCTGCATGTTCAGGGTGGCTGTGGCCACTTCCCACCTTTAGTTAGTTTAAGCCCAGAAATGCAGTTTGGAAGTGTCCAATTGTGGTGCTGCCAGCAGCTGGGTGAAAACTGAATGGGGTTTGAGCTATAACTGGATGCGAGGTGCGGAAGGAAAAACCTTGTGCTGGCTTTTGATCCAGGTCAAACCTGACTGGCATGTTCATATTGAATAAGAAGTGATGGTTCATTAATACTTCATGAATTTAAATACTGCTCATCCTGTTTGGGARGGGCAAGGATGATGTTTTGCACACTTGCTGGATCAGAATCCTGAGCTATGGTCTGTGTATTTTACCAGGTGAAAACTTCAGGGGGATGAAACCAGAGGCTGCTTTTTGGGGAGGAAAGGGATTGTTTGACTGTAYTCTGCTGCTCGTGGTGGTTGAGATTTGCCTGTCATGCTGCCAGCCCACACGTGGTGCTCATCCTGGTTAGCCGTGTCTGGTGAGGTTTGGGATKCATCTCCAGACCACAGAGTGCACCAGCTCCATTCCTCTGCTGCCATAACCAGGAATTTTGGTCGAGTGTTGATCCTGCTGACCTGTGGCTGTTGCTGGGCTCATCTCAGCTGTCTCTTTCCCTGGGGACTCACCGAGTGTGGTTCTGCCCTTCATCCCAGCATTACAATTCTGCCCAGCGGGGACTGGGTGTGCCACCAYGTCTGCTGAAGGTGGAGAGTGCTGAAGGTGCTGCTGAGATGGGAGAGGCATCTTTGCTAAGGGCAGAGYTTGGTTCTAAGGTGCAGTGCTGTGATGGGGCTGCCAGTGAGTCATCAAAGCCCTCTTCATCCCGTTTTTGTTTCCTGCAGTGCTCACAAGGGCAGCAGATGCCAGAGCCACTGGAGGAGCTGTTGGAGCAGCTCTTCTGCACCTGCTCTGGGCTCCTGTTTGTTGTCTAAAAATTGACACCAGTCGGTTCTTGCAGCAATAGCAGATTCTGCTCTCAAACGTGCGCTCCAAATCGCAAGGCAGCAGTAACACCAATATTAACAGGAATAATAACAATCAAACTCTGCCGAGTGCAGCGGGGCCAATCCCAGTGTGCAGCATGGAGGGGCGGCAGCACCAGCGTGGGGAGACACTGTCAAACCTAATGTTCCTCTCGTACCAGCAACGTTCTTGACAACTAATAAATTTCAGAGACCTGCAGTTTGGTGCCTGCMTTTAAAGCACATGAGTGTCCATGCCAGGGGAGGCTGATGCATTTTGTCGCGTCACAGAAAGGGTTTCACCTTTGGACTAGGACTAGGAGTGACAGTGGCTGCTCAGTGGCTAAATGAGCCAGGAAAAATGGGCTGGARCACGTGGAATGCCTGGAATCAGGCCTTGAGGACGCGGGCTGGGTCCTGGTTGGCTGTGACGTGGGTAATRTCGTTTATTTTCTTTATCCGAGTTGAACTTGGCTGCTTCTTCAGGCTTGATCGTTTGATTTCTTCAGGCTTGAATTCTTCAGGTTTGATCGTTTGATTTCACTAACCGACCCAGAACCTCGGTCGCTGCGGGGCGGAGCGGGCCTTCCCACGGCGGCTGCGGCGACAGGGACGATCTGTCACGCCGCGTCGCTTCAGGGCCGGGCGCCGCCCTGCTCCGGGAGGCGGCAGCTTCTTATCGCGGCGGCTTTTGTCGCGTTTTGGGTTCCAACCGGGAGCGGCCRGGCCTGGCTGGGGACCGCGCCCGCGGCTGCACACGGAGCTCCACCCGCGGCGGCACACAGAGCTCCACCCGCGGTGGCGCGGAGCTCCGCCCGCAGCGGCACGGGTCTCCACCCGCGGCTGCACGGAGCTCCGCCCGTGGCTGCACACAGAGCTCCGCCCACGACTGCACACGGAGCTCCACCCGCGGCGGCACGGAGCTCCACCCACGGCTGCGCGGAGCCCCGCCCGCGGCTGCACGGAGCCCCGCCCGCGGCTGCACACGGAGCTCCACCCGCGGCTGCACGGAGCTCCGCTCACGGCTGCACGGAGCCTCGCCCACAGCAGCACGGAGCCCGGCCCGCGGCTGCGCGGAGGTCCGCTCGCGGCTGCACGGAGCTCCGCCCGCGGCTGCACACGGAGCTCCACCCACGGCTGCACGGAGCTCCGCCCACGGCTTCACGGAGCTCCGCCCACAGCGGCGCGGAGCTCCGCCCGCGGCTGCACGGAGTCCCGCCCGCAGCTGCACACGGAGCTCCACCCGCGGCTGCACGGAGCCTCGCCCACAGCAGCACGGAGCCAGGCCCGCGGCTGCGCGGAGCTCCACCCACGGCTGCCTGGAGCTCCACCTGCGGCTGCACGGAGCCCCGCCCACGGCTCCTCACGGGCTCGCTCTCTTCCCGCGCTTGCAGTCGGCGGGGGCGGGGCCTGACGGCTCGACCAATGGCAGCGGCGCCCGCCCTGGCGGCAGCCAATGGGCAGCGGCGGCTGTGGGCGGGTCCGGCCATGGCGGCGGCGGGCGGTGAGGGCGGCGCGGAGGTGGCGGAGGATGGCGGTGCCGGCCCGGCCCTGTCGGCAGCCCCGGGTCGCTCGCAGGTGTTCAGCACCGTGGTGGACACATTCCTGGAGAAGCTGGTGGCCGCCGGGAGGTGAGGCGGAGGCAGGGTCGGGTAGGGCAGGGCGGGGAGGGAGCACTGGGCCCACCCGGATCCCCTGCAATGGCCCTGGCCCTGACCCYGACCCCATCTCTAACCTTTCACCCCACCGTAACCCTAATCTTGATCCTGCCTTCTTTGCGGTCTTGCAGCTACCAGAGATTTGTCAACTGCTACCGCTGCTTCTACAAGCTGCAGCCCCAGCTGACTCGGAGCATTTACGATCAGTTCATCTCCCAGCTACAGGCATCCATCAAGGTGAATGAGGGCGCGACCCGGGTGCTTGGGGGGCTGCAGAAGGCCTTGGAGCTTCCAGAGAGGCTGTGAAAAAGTGCTGAACAGGTTGATTTTTTAAGGGCAGTAAATACATTACCTAAATGAGAAAAGCAGGAAAATGAGACAGCTCTCCAGACCTCTCTGTATTCCGCAGAAAGAGCTGTAGAACCATTCCGGTTGGAAAACACCTTTAGGAAAACACCACCGAGTCCAAGCATTTCCCCAGCACAGTCAAAGCCACCACTAAACCATGTCCCCAAGTGTCCCCCAACATTCAAACATCACATGGTGATCCCCAGCTTGTAGGCTCTTCATCCAGGACAAAGCTGGGAGGATTTTGGACAAAGAGCTGGAGTGTCAGGGCAAGGAGAATTGAAGTTCTTCCCCATAAGGGTGGGGAGGCCCTGGCACAGGTTGCCCAGAGAAGCTGTGGCTGCCCCATCCTTGAAGTGTCCAAGGCCAGGGTTGACACAGCCAGGAGCAACCTGGGATAGTGGAAGGTGTCCCTGCCCATGGAAGAGGGTAAAACAAGATGAGTGTTAAGGGCTCTTCCAACCCAAACAATTCCCTGATTCCATGACCAGCAAGAGCTCACAAACAGTGTGGTGCCCGTGTTTGTTCACTTTGAGTCCTTCTGAATTCCTGTTTTGTCCATCCTTCACAGGAGGAGATCCAGGAGGTGAAAAATGAGGGTAATCTTGAGACACTCTTTAGTTCACTGGATAAGATTGTGGAGGAGGCCAAGGACCGAGAAGAGCCAGCGTGGTATGGATGGCCAGGGAAGGGGTGGAAGCTGTGTTCCTACAAGGGTGACATTTGGGTGTCCTGTTGGGCTCATGCTGCAAGGGAGGGTCTGAAAGCTGCTATATCTTTACAGCAATGTCACTGAGCCTAGAACACACAAAAATTAGTTAAATCTTATCATCTCTGTGCTCAGCATCCATTTCCATTTGCTTCCTTAGTGCAGGGAGGTGAGTGCCATTGAGAAGGAGGGAGAAGCCAATTCTGATCAATCCAATGGTGATGGGATGTTTTGGGCACGATTGTCCACCAGCAGAGCTCCCCTGGGTGCTCTTTGTGCCCTTGGTGTCTCAGCAGACACTGGCAGGTGCCATTTGGCCATGCAGGAACAGACTGGAAATTGTAACCACAAACACCAAACAAGATTGGGGATTGTAACCAGAAACACCAAACTGTGTTTCTGTGCTGAGGGGGTG